GGGATAATCACGTAGTCCTTTTGGAAAGCCAGCTGGGTCCACTGAGTTGGTATTTTGACAAAGCCATAATTCCTATGTTCCTTTTTGAAAGTCCTCATTCAAGGCTATGGTTTTATTGATTTTAGAGATAGAGGAGGGGAGAGAGAGATAGATAGATAGATAGAGAGAGAGAGAGAGAGAGAGAGGCAAACAATTGACCTGCATCAACTCTTTTTTTTAACATTAGAGTATATACTTTTTTCCTTAATATGTTTTTATCGATTTTAGAGAGAAAAGAAGGGAGAGAGGAAGAGAGAGAGAAACAACAATGTGAGAAAGACACACCAATCAGTTTGCCTCATAATGGGGATCAAGCCCACAAGCTTCTTGGAAATATGTTTCAGACCCAGAGATGACAGACTGGAGGCAGCAGTCATCTCTTGCCTTCATTGATGGACCTTGATCCAATGCCCCACTAATGTGATCAGCAAACAGTCTCCCCAACAAGACACTCCAGACTCTACAATGAGACTTTCTCCCCTGCTCCAGCCTCCACACCTAATCTTGATTGACCTGCCTCTCAAGTCCAATTCCTCACGTTTAAAGTTGTGCTGGACCCATCCAAGGCCTGCCCGTGTGTCCCAGGTCCATGCAGATGTTTCCGGTTCCCTTCCAGCCATTTTCTCATCAGACAATAGTGTTATTCATAGCACCCACAGAATTTAGCACTTTTCTGGCCATTTGATGGCTCTTCAAAACTTCATACAAAATGGGAACCTCAGTCAGTGTTCCCACTGGAATTCCCCTCAGATCATTCAGCTCTCTCCATAAAGCCCAAATATGCAGCAACTCATGTCTGCCACCAAAATGGCATGCCTTAATCTTTCTTTCCTAGTCTTTATAGGTTAGCCACTCATCTTCACTCTGGGGAACTTTCTCACTTTCAGCTTTGACTTACAACACTCTTTTCTGTCCCTGAACTTTCAGCATTTCAGTGGAATACCAGCATATTGAGCACTTGACTTTATTTAACCAACTTTTAGTTCCTACACACCTGTTTCCTGAAGCTTTCTCAGGCTGCTTGAAAGGACACAGTGCCTTACACAAACATGGTCCCCATAATTGCCCCCACAAATATATCCACTATGGATCCGGTCTTGAACAGATTGATGATGGCATACAGGGATGGGCAAAAGTAGGTTTACAGTTGTTTGTATAGAAAAATAATACATTAATTAATAATGAGTAAACTCTGTTTCACATACTCACAACTGTAGACCTACTTTTGCCCACCCCTGTATAATCAAGCCCACAAGCTTCTTGGAAATATGTTTCAGACCCAGAGATGACAGACTGGAGGCAGCAGTCATCTCTTGCCTTCATTGATGGACCTTGATCCAATGCCCCACTAATGTGATCAGCAAACAGTCTCCCCAACAAGACACTCCAGACTCTACAATGAGACTTTCTCCCCTGCTCCAGCCTCCACACCTAATCTTGATTGACCTGCCTCTCAAGTCCAATTCCTCACGTTTAAAGTTGTGCTGGACCCATCCAAGGCCTGCCCGTGTGTCCCAGGTCCATGCAGATGTTTCCGGTTCCCTTCCAGCCATTTTCTCATCAGACAATAGTGTTATTCATAACACCCACAGAATTTAGCACTTTTCTGGCCATTTGATGGCTCTTCAAAACTTCATACAAAATGGGAACCTCAGTCAGTGTTCCCACTGGAATTCCCCTCAGATCATTCAGCTCTCTCCATAAAGCCCAAATATGCAGCAACTCATGTCTGCCACCAAAATGGCATGCCTTAATCTTTCTTTCCTAGTCTTTATAGGTTAGCCACTCATCTTCACTCTGGGGAACTTTCTCACTTTCAGCTTTGACTTACAACACTCTTTTCTGTCCCTGAACTTTCAGCATTTCAGTGGAATACCAGCATATTGAGCACTTGACTTTATTTAACCAACTTTTAGTTCCTACACACCTGTTTCCTGAAGCTTTCTCAGGCTGCTTGAAAGGACACAGTGCCTTACACAAACATGGTCCCCATAATTGCCCCCACAAATATATCCACTATGGATCCGGTCTTGAACAGATTGATGATGGCATACAGGGATGGGCAAAAGTAGGTTTACAGTTGTTTGTATAGAAAAATAATACATTAATTAATAATGAGTAAACTCTGTTTCACATACTCACAACTGTAGACCTACTTTTGCCCACCCCTGTGTAATAATTTATCTATATGTGTTCTTGTTACTATGTTCAACAGGCGATATGATAAACATATATATATCAGCATGCCTTAACTTAAACACAAGTTTACTTCTCCACTCTTCACCAGGATTCCTAAACTTGGTACAAAATTGGAACATTAGTCAATGTCCCCACTGGAATTCACTCAGATCATTCAACTGAGAGATCTTCATGAAAAGTCCAATTGGCAAGAGCTTAAGACCCAGAAAGAAAAACCACACTCTTGTGTCTCCAGGAGTCTCCTTGGCCAAACCAACCAGGAAGCCATCCAACAAGAGAGATGGCTCACGCTGTCCTTAAGAGTCAGCCCCTTAGGACAGGGATGAATATCACGATCATGGAGAAAGGATGGAGCAGGGGTGGGACAAATGGGAAAAGCCAATACATCCAATTCTAAACACAACCAACTGGCAGAATTTGAGACAATGAAGAGAGGAAACCACGTAACCTTGAGTTGAAGCAGCAGAAACCTGGCTTTACACACATTTCCTACTGGAATGTATTCTCAAGGGGCATCTGTTTATGTGTCTCCCTCTTCTCTGACAATGCCTGACATACCTCAGGGGTTTAGCTCATCGGTTAGTTAATTGATTAAACATATAACATATCTTTTAGTCAAAAATCTTATGTCAGATATTCAGTGGAGGTTTCCTGAGGAAGCAGCCAGTAGTTGACCGAGTAGATGACATACCGGTATGTGACTTGACACGCTGAGTGGTGGTGTGTTATGCTTCCCCACATCTGCAGAGGCAGACATCCAGGGCGAGCAAAACTTGTAAAGGCCACACCTATAGGTGGATGTGGAGTTTGTGACACCACAAGGCTGCCTCTGAGATCGGGATTCATCCCTCTCTTCTGGGTCAGGACATTCATCCACCCCCTATCTCCTATTTGCAAGCATTAAATCAGGATGTGCACTCAATCCCCAGTCTTCCTGCGTACGTGGGATCTGTTGGTGAATATCTATTTAGAGTTTGAGAATTGGTTGATTTCAAGGAATATTTTGCAAAGAGAACAGTATATCACAAATATATATTGGCTTTAATCTTTAGACTCCATCACAAAACTTCTGATTAAACTTTATGCCTCCCTCCCTCTGTACCAAGCCTTAGAAATATTATTGTGTATACTAGTTGCTGTTACACATAAATGGGATTTCTCTTGTGCTATATACCATATAACTTACTCATATATTACATTTATTGTCATCTCTGCCTCTATCACCACTGCTTCCTCATTCTACCTGACAAAACATAAGCTATGGGAAGACTGGGAGTTTGACTCTTTTGTGTAATGATGTATCCCAAAGAACTAGAGCAGCACCTGCCTCATCACAGGTCAGCAATAAATATTTGTTGCACAAATGAAAGGACTCCAGTGTTTATTCCACATGAGACATCCTAAATGCATTGGGTACCACAGTGAGAAACACACAGCCCGACCTTTCAAATATATACAGTCTAGTGTAGCGGGAAAAAGAAGGGCTTGATTCTGAACTGTCCCCTAGTTCCTGCAAGAAGAGAGGGGGTGGAGTAGGAAAGTCAGAAGAGGAGAGGAAAGGAAAGGGTATGTAGGCATTTGGGGTATTTTGAGTGCATGAGCTGCTCGCTGGCCATGCCTCAGCACCAGTTCCTAAAGGCCTGTCTGTGGTCCTTACCTGTTTGGTGTTGGCGGTAATGCTTACTGTTAATCTTAGCTCCTACTCTCCACAGCCTGCTAAACACCCCATCCCATTCACGTTTCCTCTTTCTGAACCTTCATCCCCTCCTCCACTTCTGTTTACCTAGCAAGCTCCTACTCCTTCTTCAAGACCCATTCAACACTCTGATATGTGAGAGTCTCCATGTTGCCTGCTCATATAAGATCTTTCCTGTGAGTTTTCTCACCTATAAAATAAAAATTTTCTTAAATCAAATAATCGCTACTTATTTCTAAATCTCCCTGATTCTACAGAATAAGAATACCTATTCCAGGGTGAGATAAAATACTCACCTCCAGAAGGCAACTCACATCAAGGTGAGAGACTGTGCTGTGGGGGCAGGGAGCAGCTCTTTGAAAAGGTGTCCTGAAGGACCCTCTTCTCACCGTGCTCCCTGTGCTCCTGTGTAACTGCTGCCACTGGGAGGAAGATAAAGAAAAAATTATTATTTTATAAAGAAAATGTATATATTGAGGTACTTGGGGAGGGCTGTCCCTTCTGGTTAGTATAAAAAATTGTAGGAGAGAGTCACACTCATCCTAACAGTGGAACATAGCCAGACAGTCTGCAAAATCAGAGGATTTTAAAACCATCCAGAGAATTGAGGATAGAGAAGTGAGAAGCCCTTCCCTGAGGAGAAAATACTGCCTGATTTCATGCCTGCAGAGAAGGGAGAAGAAGGGGGAACAATCTAGGTGTGAAGGAGGAGCCACCAGCTGGTTTTTCTGAGGTTGGTGGCCAGAGTGGACTGGCCTGATGGGCCAGAATCCCAGGGAGGCCCGGCACCGCCCGTGGCCCTGCCCCAGGGCCTGCACACAGCAGTGAGAAGGAATGCACCACCCATGCCTACAGTAGCACAGACCCTCCAACACGTGTGTCCAACAAATGGGAAGAGGCCAAAATCGGTTTTTGGGAATTCACTGGAAAGGGCACAGGGGAACTTTTCCGGGTGACAGATATGCTCTATATGTTGTTTGGCATGATGGCTACACAGAGGGTAGCTATTCAGCATGTTATTGTCTGTAACTTACACGTCAATAAAAATAAAGTGCTTAGGCATCCTGGCACTTGGAAGTTGAGCATCTATAAAAATACAAGTACAAGTACATTTTTCAAATTATTTAATAATTATTCTTTAACTGCTCCTGAAGTTATGTTATTCTATAGCTTAATTTAACTTAAAATGTTTTGTACTTCTAAGAGTGGAAGAAGATAGAAGCTTTAATTTACAGGAATTCTTGTTTTTATTCTTGTAAAAATGGCATAACAATTAGGGTTTTGATGGGAAAATTTCATTTTTCAAATGTACTATTAAAATTTCACTTCCATATTACTATCTGGATTTCACCCTCTGACAGTTTAAAAATCCACATCATTTTATTTCTCTTTTCATTTGGAACTTTGTCTCCATACCCTATATTTAAAGTTAACACTAACCTTCTCCCGTAAATATAAGCCTGGTAAGGAAGAGTGTTAATCTTTACAGAGCCATCAGATACATCACCCAGGAAGATGCAAAGATGTGTTTGTATGCAAACTTTAGCTTTGAGTCACTAAGAAATGCAAGGATTTTATGAGAAACAAGCCAGTTCAGAAAGTGAGCTGTACGTTGTTGGAAGAGGAGTGAATAAACATATTAAGCAATGTGACAATGAAATGGAATGTGGAGATACCTAAGCCATAAGACACTGAATTTAAATTTCACGTGGGAAGGCATCCGCCAGTTTTTTGGGTGTTTTTTTTTTTTTAATTCAGTATGTCGTTTTAATTAACTCACAACTCTGAATTAGACATAAATCAGCCAGACCCATTTGGGTTTCATTTTTAGCACAAAGATCCTATCATCTTCAGCATTTCACTCAATGCTAATTAAAAATGGATTTATGGCTCTTGGTACCTTCAGACAGAGGAGGACGTTCAGAACTCCCGCGCCAGTGGGAGGGGAGCTATTTTGGGGATAGCAACCGAATGTCAGACATTTGCCACAGCACACTGCTTCTGAAAGCTACACGTATTTTCTGGATATGTAAACAAGCCTCATAAAACTCTCATTGTTTCCATCCCTGGTAACAGTGTAAATTCACCACAAACTGAGCGTCTCTGTTTGCCGCCAACACTATTTCAACACAATGTGCCTGCTCTCGCTTCCAGAACCTTCCCTATAGCCAAGCCAATGTGCATAGGATTTCCTTATTCAGACTGTCCCGTCCCCCCCACACACACTCCAGCCCCTCTTCCCCCCATGTCCCCAGCAAAAATGTGCTATTGAGGATTTTTAGTTCTGGCTGTGGGTTAGTCAGTATATTTTAGCAGAGTTTATTGAATGCCTTGAAAACCAAAACGCCAGCTTCATCTCCTAATAACTATAATGTTTTCTCCGGAGGTGCCCCGCTGCGTTTAGCTCAGGATTTAACTTTCAGGCTGAAGAGAAGAAGTACACCAAATAAAAACGACAACTTACTTCCTTAAGCCATTTACAGAGACTGAAAAACACTCTCCTGGAAGTCATGGGCCTAGGATAGGATAAGAAAAAAATATTGTTCAATAACTAATGGAAACTAAGAACAGCAAACCATTTGTTTTGAAAAGGGTATCGGTGTGTGTGTTGGCGTGTGTCTTGGAAGGGAAGTGGCAGCTTGGACACATTTTGAAGGGTTTGTCCGTGTGAATACAGCCAGCCTCCGGCTTCCTTACAGTTTTTGAGACACTGCAGGATGCCTGTAAGTAAAACCTTTTTGGATTTTTTAAAAAATGACTAAGAGCATAATCAAAAAAGTTTTGATCAAAATTAGAGACTTGGTGGAGAATCCATTGAATAGGAGAAATTGCATCATGGCACAAGGGGTATAATGCAAAAAATAGTGAGAACAGATGACGTGCTTGGAAGAAACCTGGACCCTGTTGTTGTGGTCAGTGGTGGCATTTAGTGGTGAGGCGTCCTGAGCCAGGATTGGGCTGTTTTGTCACTGGTTCTGAGAGACAAGTTTACCAAAATGCGTGTATTTACTACTGTAGTTTTGAGTACATACACACAGTTTTTTTAACCTTTTTGTTGGTAAGCAAAAAAAAATTAAAAGTAATGAGTCCCTTTTGAAACTCAATGTCTACCTTGTACCAGGAAAATATATGTATAGATCCTGGTGTCTGGGTTCAGGTCCTGGGGCTGTGGCACAGGAGCTCCTCGCTGGGCTTCACTCTCCAATAGGTCTGAGCTCCCCCGGAGCAAATCCTTACATATGGTTGGGACACCAATCCTGGTGACGGGGATGCCCAGCATGGCTTTTCGAGGCCACCATGCCGTCACAGCACCTGTCCCCAGTGCACATGCAGCACAGTACTAAGTGGCCTTGGGCATCCAGCTCTCCATAAGGACGGTATGGTTAAATGCATGCGGTGCTTGGCTGGGGGCATTTCAGTCACATTTATTGTTCTTCAAGCTAAAATCGGCCACCCCGAGGAGGGATGCTGTCATGCCTGTGTTGGCATAATGGCAAATAGGAAAGCACAGGTCCCTGACAGCACAGGGCCAACCATCTATTTATGCCAACATCCATTTCTCAAGGTGGCATCTCTGCAAGTGTGAAGGGAAGATCTCCTTTGGGTTTTTTGGTGTTTTTTTTCTTTTAGAGCTAGAAATAAAGCACTTTCTTACTTGGAATTCACGCTATAGAAAAAAAAACCTATTTGTCTTTTTCTCTCACTAGCTGAAGTATTAGTATTCCTCTCCCTCCTTCGCCCACTTCATGCTCTGAGCCAAATTCTTCAAATAGAGAAAGCCCTGCCAACTGGGAGAATTACAGGCGGGATGTGAAAGTCGGTCATGGGACGTGTCAGAGAATTCTCCCTATTGGACCTGTTTCGGTTTAAGACGGGAACAACTTTTGGGGATGGAAGCAGGGACCCTCTTCTCCCACCCCTTCGGGACCCGAGTGGGAGAAACTGTCTCAGCAAGTGTCTGAAATATTAGACTCACTGTGGTTTGTCCTGCCCTGTACTCTGGAACTTTTTTGGCTGTTTGCAATAGTATGATGAGTCATGCATTTCACAAGCATTTTTTGAAAAGGGGAAACACCTCCCAGCTTGAAATGTGACTCTCCTATGAAAAGAGACAGTGTCCAAACACCAAACAACTCATCTACTCACTGTGTTCCTTCGCCTTTCCTGACTGATTTTATTTTGAACACTAGTTTGAACTCGTAGAAGCCAGAAATCCAATCCTGTTATAAATAAAAAAGCCAAATTCTCTTTGGGCTTGTGCTTGAGCAAACAAATTAACACCTCCTCTAATCTAAGGATCAGGTCACAGGCCAAAAAAGAAATACAACCTGCTTGGTGGATTTAGAAAGGTGCTTAACCTGAATTAAAAAAAAAAAAACTAGCTCGGTCTGTACTTTGTGATATGATGACATGGAGATGGATGGAATGCAGCTCCCTCCACATAAATTGTCATTTTTAGCAACAGATTCCTAATACAGTCACTTTTCCCTTAGTATCTCCATTGTGGTTTGAGTCTTGAGCTCCTAAAGCCATTGGTGGGTAGGGTCCCTCCCACTTTCCCCTCACGATGAAAAAGCCCATGGGTTCACAGTGCTCATGTTCTGCTGGGGCTCTCCTGTCTGACCCAAATCAATATCTGCATCCTTGTCCTCACATCTGGCTGAGGTTGAGAACTTTCTCCCAAGAGACAAAAGAGGAAGATTCAGTCAGATGTAGCCTGGCTGTTGTGGGTGAGATGACTCAGCCCGTTTTTGTGGATTTCCCAAGATGCTTTCTGAAGCTCTGTTGAAAATATCTTGTGTGATCCTGTAGTAAATTAAACAAAAGACAAACCCCAAGTGCCTGCCTGTTTGAATAGCATAACCACAAAAACTGTGATTCACTGTGACCTGTGGAGGAGGAGAGGCTGGGGCCTGACTTTTGGACATTTTTTTTTTTTTTGGAAATGCACTGGGGGATAGAGGATACATGCTTGTTTTTTTATTTTTTGTTTTGTTGTTGTTGTTTTGTTTTTTATTTTAGGAGCTAAAAAAAATCACTCTACATCTATCCCCTGGACAATGAAAAATGACAATTCCCACGTTTCGCTCAAGTCTATGTTCTTCCAAACTGCACACGCCCACATGTCTTTGCTCACTTACCCATGGAGCAGGACAATGAGCCTAGGAATCTGTTTTCCACCAGCTAGGATCACTGGAGGCTTTCCCTGGCGTTCTTCATGCAAATGGAATTTCAAACACACCCATTGTTTCTACCCTTCTTGTTGGTGTTGGTGTTGTCGCTGGGTGTTTTCCTCTGGGCTGAAGAGCAGGGTGCTCTGAGCTCCCACTATCTCCAGGGAATGACCACCACACAGGAACATGGATTTCTAAGAAGCACAGCCCTGCCAGGACCAGTTCTGTGGCTGATCCAACAGAAGACACAAACATGCTCATTCACACAGGACTTCCTTTCCTGAACAATGGCTCTCTCCCTCCCACTAGGAAGGTGATTCCCCAGTGTCTGGGAAATGGCCTATCCCAGGTCTGTTTTGAAATGAGTGATATTTTGCTGAGGAACCACAGGGGCAGTGTTCTTTGTTCATCCTCATGTAGGCTGTATTGCTGCTGCTGCTGCTGCTGCTACTATTCCTAGTCTTGGAATGGGAATTTCTGACTTAGAAGGAATGCACAGACTGGAAGAAACTTTACCACACACTGAGCGGAGGCGGGGCACTGCGTGTTTTGCCAAAAACCATCTAGAATTTCCTGTTTTCCAAGCCTCAGTGTAACTTTACCTTTTTGGGTCAAGTTTTCTCTGTTCCTAGGATTCTGGAACTTTCTATTTCTGACTCCTCTAAGGATCCATGAAAGATATTCAATAGGCTTCTTATAAAAAGTTCAAAAGTGCTTTTTTAACACAACTCTTTGTGAGCCAGACTCAGTGGATCTGAAACCATATGCATTTAATTTCCACTTAAGTATTCGTCAGCTTATCATAACAGTGAAAAAACCTCAAACAAGGGTATAAAGAATTTCACTTTATCCTTAAACAGAGGGAAAGAATTTCAGACACGTAATAGTCTGTGAACAATTAAAAAGTTATGCTAAGTAGCTTATATTTAAAATTACCTAAGTCAGTAGAAACTGAAATATTGTAATTTTCATTTAATATACTCTTTAGCCATGTATGAGTGTTAGAATATATAATATACATACATACTATATAACACTTTAATAGTCACAGAGGGAAAATCATCAAACAAATAGGCATCTTTACACTTTAGAGAAAAAAGTTTCTAATGGCTTCAGGTATATTGTTAGTTATCTGAATAGAGAAACAAAGGCAAACACAAACTTTCAAAGACATAAAACTGGATTCTGGAAAAACTTCCAAAGAAGTCAGCCTAAGTCTACAATCTGCTTACTCCTTCCTTCAGATCTCCAATTTATTACTAATTTTAGCAGAAATGTAGCCTTATGACCAAGGCTGTCTACTTTTAAATTTTCTCCATCACACCCAGTCTAAAATAGAAACCTTGCACACTTTCCCTGAAAAATCACCCTCTAATTACTCTGGGAAATGCGCAGATGTGTCACCTATGGTTACAGCAGCACCGCCCTAGGAGAGCTGGTAGTAATCTGCTGGCTACCTCCCTGCTTGGGAATGGGAGATGCAAACACCCTATGACAACACCTTTAGCTGCAGTGACACCGAATTCTCCCATTTGCATTCTATCATTCTTATCTGCTGCGTGGGATCCTAGTGAAAGTTGTAATCGGCTTTTGCAGGTACCCTATTTATATACACTCCTATCTCTCCTGTTGAGTTTTTATTCCTGAAGTTTGCTTCATGCGGAAGTTGAATTTTTATAAGCAACATTGAAAAAGACTGCCTTAAATCTCAGCTCCTGCTGCAAGTTCTACTTATGGGGCCAGCGGTACCTTTTTCTCTTTGGATCTCTGTCTTATAAGTATCAGATTGACTTATATCTGTGTGGCCAGGAGAAAGTCTGTCTTGAGAAGATCATTTTTTTAAATGCATATCAACTATAAGACATTAATATTTGTGACTTCACCTTGCTGATGACAGAAAGTTTGAATTTGAAAAGTAAATAGTTATTAACTTTTGAATGCATCCCATGCTAGTCAGATATACAAACCAATCCAGTTCATCTCCAGAGCTCAATAGTCATTATATCTTCATGCAGACAGAATATAAATTCTTTAGGTCAGGGGTTAGCAAAGTAGGGTACAGACAAAAGTCTGTTTGGGTAAGTAAGGTTTTATTAGAAGACAGCCACTTTTATGTTCATTTATGTCCTATCTGTGACTGCTTGGGTGTCACAGCATAGTTGACAAGTTTCTACAGAGACCATCTGGCTCACCAAGGCTGAAATATTTACTATTTGGCCCTTTATAGAAATGCTTTATATCAATACATACAGTTCTGAACCATAGTGAGCTGAGTATGCACTTATTTCTCGGTTAAAGAGTATGCAGGCAGGGCACTGGTATTCCCACAAGGGCAAAAATTTTTATTTATTTATTTATTTATTTATTTATTTATTTATTTTGCAGTGGACATTTGTTTCCAGAAAGGCAAACATTTGTGATTACCATTCAAAGGGCTGCCACCAACCCTTTTTATTATTTGGGGTTTTGTTAAATGTTTTAGTATTAACAAGTTGACAAAGATATTGTTGCCTGCGATCTATGGAGATTCAGCCAACTGTGGGATCTCTACTATGAGTGGCCATATTTAGGTAATCCATTAATCCTAAAATAGCATAAATTATTTCCTTAAATGTATGGAAGGTATTTGAGCCACTGAACATCTCTGTTATCTTCATCTCCCTGTATTGTTCATTTTAATCAACTTTATAGTTTTCTGTGGAAAAGAAAAGAGGACTCTAAAATCTCTACAATAAATGACCAAGGAAGAACAGAGGCTTTTTGGAGAAGTCAAGAGATGACTCCTCATTCCTGCAAAATCACTACTAACCAATGAAATGTACTAGTATGAATTAGGTAGGCTAGTTGCTATAGTAGGTAGTCTCCAAAATATATAAAATAGCTTAAGCACAATAAAGTAATGTAACAGAATTGTCAGTGCATAAGTTAATAGGTGTTTACCATCCACAAAAGTCTCAGCCTTCTTCCCTATTAGCTTCTAAATCTCTGTATGGCCATTCCCCTCTTTGCTAGCCAAAAGGAAAAAGAATGTGGAGAGTGCTCATGAAGTCTTTATTAGCCTCTGTAAGAGCCTCACATCCCTTCTGTTCACATTCATTCCTAAAACTCTTTAGTGTGATGCCTCTAACTGCAAGACGGGACAGAAAATGTGATCTCGGCTGAGAACAGTGTCCTAATGTCCAATGCGGAGCATGAATTCTGGTGGGCAATTACCCCACGTCTACCACTGTGCCCACCACACAGGCAGGTGTCCTGGCTCCCAAAGCCATCTCCATCTTACCCAATAAATTTTGAGTCTCCAGTTTTACAATGAGCAATGCTGTTTTTAAAATATAAACAAGCCTGAAGAGGAGCAGTCATAAGAAAAGCATTCTCATTATGGCACAAATACCTTATTTTAGCTTCTGGTTTTGATACCATCGATTTAAAGGGGAAGAAAAAAAGTGCTAAAAGACAATTCTTCATGGACCTCTTGAATTCCTGCACATCCTGTGAGACATATGTTTTATTGGTTCTATTTCTCTGGACTAATCAGCAACCTAATGCACGTGCTGGTATCGCCTGGCCCTGTTCATGCTGCTCATGGGAACTGGATCTTTGAGGAACCCGCACAAGAAAAATGATGATATCAAGCAACTACAATTTCTATGAGTAATAAATCACCCTTTACCTTTGACCCAAGAATGTCACATCTTCTGCCAGCAACTGTGAAGCTGCAGCAGGCTAACATTTTAGCTTGCAAGTTGCATAAAATCACAGACCCTTCACAGCTCTTGACAAGAAGGAATCATCACAGAAATAGAAAAAAAAAGTGACACAGAGGAGGTTTTTTTATTTTTTTATTTTTCTAGAGCCAGACTGGCCACACACACCCACTTTAGGATAAATGTTCTGACTTCTAACGCATATTTTATCTGCACACTTGTATAAGAACCAAGATCCACCTTCTTTGCGCAAGGGCACAGAAGCAAATAATGCTGCAAGCATGTTACTTGCTATGTGTTCCTATTTTAGAGGTAGCCAATTATACAAGACTAGAGGCCCGGTGCACAAAAATTTGTGCTCTCGGGGGGGAGGAGGTAAAAAAAGGTCCCTCAGCCCGGCCTGTGCCCTCTCGCAGTCTAGGACCCCTCGGGGGATGACCGCCTGTTGGCTTAGGCCCACTTCCCTGGGGATTGGGCCTAAGCTGGCAATCAGACATCCCTCTGGCAGCCAGGGGAGCAGACCTAAGCTGCAGTTGGACATCCTTAGTGCTGCTAAGGAGGCAGGAGAGGCTCCCACCACCACCGCTATACTGGCAGCCATCAGCCTGGCTTGTGGCTGAGCAGAGCTCCCCCATGTGGGAGCACACTGACCACCAGAGGGCAGATCCTGCATTGAGCGTCTGCCCCCTGGTGGTCAGTGTGTGTCATAGTGACCAGTCATTCCCAGTCTTTCTGCTGTTAGGGTCAGTTTGCATATTCCCCTTTTACTATATAGGATAGAGGCCTGGTGCACGGGTGGGGGCTGGCTGGTTTGCCCTGAAGGGTGTCCCGGATCAGGGTGGGGGTCCCGCTTGGGTGCCTGGCCAGCCTGGGTGAGGGGCTGATGGCTGTTTGCAGCTGGTCACACCCCCTTCAGGGTGGGGGTCCCCACTGGGGTGCCTGGCCAGTCTGGGTGAGGGGCTGATGGCTGTTTTCAGGCTGGCCGGTGACTGAAGCTCCCAGCCTCTCCTTTTTTTCTTTTTTTTTTATTCTGGGGTTTGTTTACTTTCTATAATTGAAACTTTGTTGCCGTCCTGCTCGCTCCAGCTCTGAGGCCTTGGCTGGCTGAAAGCAGGTATCTGGAGTTTGTTTACCTTCTATAATTGAAACTTTGTTGCTTTCGGAGCTTAGAGCCGGGCCGCGGCAGGCCGGGAACCTTGGCTTCCTCCATCACTGGAGCAAGCAAACCTCATGTTCGCTTCAGCTGCATGGCTGCTGGCCGCCATCTTTGTTGGCAGTTAATTTGTATATCTCGCTGATTAGCCAATGGGAAGCATAGCGGAGGTGAGGTTCATTACCCTTTTTGTCTTTTATTAGATAGGATTACTTACTTAGAGTAAGGCTAGTATTTTCATCTTTATATTTCTCTATTACAGTTTTATGTCTTCCAGCTACACATAGGAATTCCAAATGATTCTTCAGAAGTTAATGAAACTCTGCTACCCATGGTGCTTCTTAAGCATGGACCTACCTAAAAATATGTTAAAATGCACAGGAATGCTAAAGTCTGGAATGGCTGCAAGAAACCTCTCTACAGAAAGAAGTAAATGGCAGGTCAAAATATATCATCACCTGCTGTGTATATTCAACCTTATGTGAGGTGTGGGAAGTAGATTTTAAACCAAATTTCCAATTCCAATTGTATCATATGTTGATTACATCACATCAAAACAAGGATCATGTGAAATATTAAAAGTGGAGATATAAACTTGGAGTTAAAAAAATTTACAAACCTAACATCACCAAGCCTGGTACACAAAATGCCATCACACCAAGGTGTCGCCATGAAAACTCCTGGGCTTCTAGTGACAGAATTGTTTGGCTTAGTGCCTCAGCAGTAAGGAACGACTTTTTGGAGTCCTGTGGATTCAGTCAGTTAGTTAAATGGAATTCCTGCTGGGCTCACTACTCCAGGCAGCTACTTGATATGTGTAAGGACAAGAAAGGTCATTTTCCATCCGCAGCTTTATTGTTTTGACTTTAATCTGAAGCAAATTATCCCTCTTTAGTAAAAAGGAAGAGGTTTAACCATGCAGGGTATTTTTCAAAGTCAGAAATATATTGTTCCAGCATATTAAAATCTCATTTGGCTTGTGTCTCTTGGTGTATTTGACCATCATATGGACCTTTTCAGTGGATGTAATCACTAATATGACAACAGTGAGCTTGTCTTCGGCTAAGAAAACCGAGCCATTACCCATATGTTGATAAGTCTGAGGCTATGACCTCTGGTCCTGAGAGTAACTAAGACCTGTACCTCTCACTTGCTGAACACTCCCTCGGCACCTCCTGCAGTAATGAGCATCCACCAGGACAGCTTTCCATCAATGTCACCTTGAATGGGGAACAAACAGAGGGAAGAGTTTTTCAAAGCCTATTACCTGATTTTTATCAGAGTGAATGCACCATCTCCATTTGATCAGATAGTCCATCCCAGTGACAGAGGGATTCTCCCACAATCCTGTGAAATAAGTCCTGGGATTGCCCCACATTGCCTGTGGAAACTGAGACACAGAACAATGAACAGGGTCAGAGACAAGATTCACATCCATGTGAATTCGACTCCTAAGCAGCTTGGGACTCCGCACGGGGAAGGGCCTGACAATGACAGAGGAATAACAGGAAAGTGGGGGAAAGTTGGGAATTTAAACTCACATCTACTTGCCATCTCTGAAGTTGACAGATCTCCTGACATGGCCATGGAAGATCACTCTGTGAGAAGAGAAGAAAGCAGTGGGTCACCAATGACCAAGATGTCCTTTTCCAGCAGGCCTCCTGTCAGTGGGCTACCAAGGAATGGGCCTGGCTTAGGGAATTCTTTGCGCATTGCTTTAGTGAAAAGCAGCATTGCCGTGGGCAAATTCTTTAGCAGGGAATGAAATGTGGGCAGGTGCAGTCTGGAATACATCTGGCTGGGATGGCAAAGACTGTTCTGTTTGGGAGTGAAGTGAGCACTGTGTCCTCAGCCTCATCTCTGCAGCAGCTTAGGGTGAGTTGCCACCCCCAGGGCCTCCCAGGACCACCTGTCAGAGAAGGTCAGAGAACCTGGGGGGAGGAGTCATCCAGGAGAACTCTGGAATAGCTCCAGGTGTGTATGTATTTCAGGATTAACGAAGTAGGAAGAACCTGGTTAGTATGGTTCAGTGGTTGAGTATCAACTTATAAACCAGGAGGTCATGGTTTGATTTTGGTCAGGGCACTTGCCCAGGTTGTGGGCTCAATCCCCAGTGTGGGGTGTGCAGGAGGCAGCCGATCAATGATTCTCATCACTGATGTTTCTATATATCCCTCTCCCTTCCTCTCTGAAAAAAGAAGTAGGAGGATTTGTGTTAAAAAATTACAATAAAGGAGGCTGCTAATCAGTAAAACTCCTTCACATACTTAGAGAGTGACATACCATGCCGGAAGGCTGCAGGTTGGAAGTAAAGAGCAAACACCATGATAGCCAGGTTAAAGTGAGGTGAGGGACAATCCTGGTGTCTGGTGCAGGGACATTTGCCCAGGGCACAATACAAGCTTCCTGTCTGGGAAGGGCTGTGGGGTTTGAATCTGAGGCAGGGCAATGAGGGCAAAAGTCACAGGAAACAAAAATGCATATTGCATCATGGCAGGGGGGACAAGAAAGAGGCAAGCAGTTAATTACTCGTTTGGGGCTTTCAAATCTTAGAATAAGCCATGATTTGGGGAATGACAGTGTCACAGCCAGTCACAGGATTGATCCAGGGCAAGTCCCATCTCGGCTGGGGCTGGTGTGCACCTTCCCCTAGTCTGGGGAGGAAGAACCGCCCCACAATCTAAGACACTTTCTCAACCTTCAGGGGCATTTCGATGGCCCAGTGCTGCCAGGAAATAGTAATCAGCCTTTCCAGGTCCTTTGTTAATCTCATTCTCTTGGTTTCTGTAAATTCATTTTTTAAAAGTCTAGTTCAGGTGTGAATAGCTTTATTAGTTCTAAGAACATTTCAGAAACATACCTCTCCATGCTGGTAGCCAGATCTACTACACCCCTCTGAGTTCCCCAATCACAAACTGATGACTGAAGAAGATGCAGACTCTATACCCTGACAGAGAAGTTAATTTCCCTCTGAAAGAAGATATAAAGGAGGAAAATGCACTGGAATTTATTCAGCATCTACTCTGCTATTTTTTTTCCCCTTTAAATGTGTGGAGTATTTTTAAAGCTTCATCTATAAAATGGCGGGGGTGGGGGGGAGGAATCAGAGCTAAAAAAAAATAAATAAAAGCTAAAAGTATCCATTGAATGACATATAATTTATGGGTTAAAACTTTGATTCAAAGATCTCAAGTCACTTAAGAAATGTTTAAATAAATGATTATGAAAATGTTTTTATATTTAGAATTAGCCATCTGGACTCAGTTTAGATGATCCCAATTTTTTTTGGCAACATCCAAAGCATCATAGTCGGGAGCCAGTTCAACATATGCCTTCTTCTCTCCATCAGGCCTGATCAGGATGATGACCTTGGCCACATTAATGCCATAGAGCTTCTTCACAACCTGTTTGATCTGGTGCTTTTTTGGCCTTCACACCTGCCATGAACACAGTGCATTGTTGTCTTCTGTCTTCTTCATGGCTGACTCGGTAGTCAGGGGGAACTTGATGATGGCATAGTGGTCAAGTTTGTTCCTTCTGGGGCCACTGTTCTGAGCATATTTGGGCTGCCTTCAGCAGTGTCTTGGGCCGTCGGAAGGTGGGTGATGTGGGGATCTTTTTGTGTGTGGCTGTGGACGTCTCTTAGCAATTCTTTCTTTGCTTCAAAGCCTTTGCTTTGGCCTCTACTTTGGGAGGGACAGAGGTTTTCTTTGCTTTCAGCCATCTGAAGGACTGGTGCTGTCATAGGGCAACATTGTTAGAATGAGTGTATACAGATGCTCCTCGACTTAAGAAGGTTTCTGCTCCAATAGACCTATCATTAAGTCAGAAATGCATTAACACACCTAATCTACTGAACATAACAACTTAGCCTTGCCCACATTAAGCATGCTCAGAACGTTTATATTAGCCCACAGTTGGGAGATTATCTTGAGTTTCATCTCAATAGTATTTGCCTTCCTCTTCTTCTTACCGGAAACAGGAGACCCAGATGGGCATTTGTAGACATTATGGGATGGGAAAACACAATCCACAGTATACAAAAAAGGCTGGCAACACAGTACACTGTAGAGTATCAGATGTTGACGAGTATCGCCCCACATGTCACTAGCCCAGGACACCAAAATTCAAAGTATGGTTCCTACTGAATGCATGTTACTTCTGCACCATCGTAAAGTCAAAAAATTGTAAGTTGAACTGTCATAAGTTATAATACACATCCACAGTCTGCTAAGCAAAACCCTTGAGCCCATACACTTTTCAGAGTTTATTTCTTTTTCTTTTTTTCAGAGTTTATTTCTTTTTCTTTTTTTCAGAGTTTATTTCTCATCTAATTTTAGAGCGGTAATATGGTGTGTTCACCATATTTTATATGACATCACCAACAGGTGCTGAGGCAGTGTTCTGTATTCAAAACACATTAATATTTATTTATCTAATTGCATACACATTAGAATAAAGAACTTAAACAATTATTAGAAATATGCTCTAAATTCTGGTTAGTTTTTTCTGCCAACTTAGTTTGGACGTGAATAGAACTGTGTGTTGATTTCAGGATGGTTGGTGAGCAGCCATGATTAGGATTTGGAATCAGATGTTACCAGAGCTTAACTCTTGCCTCCCCAGCTAATGGCTGTGTGTCCTTGGGCAAACTTAGCTACACTTTCCTCACATGCAAACACAAGTTGCTAATATCTCTTCAAGATGTCAAGCTGGGGCCAGAAGAAGCTAAGATGTGCCCCTGGGTGACAGCAAACGCCCAGAGCTCTGGCCAGAAGAAAAAGTGCTGTGCGTGCACCCTCAGAAGGAAGCAGGGCAGTACACCTGAGGACACACACCTTCCTGAACTATGAGCTCTCAGAAGTGATATTTGTGTGCTTCTTGTTTTACCCAGTACTGTATACTCTAATTTCCTTAAATGAAGTTGAATTACATGAAAGAAAGAGAAATTTGGTCCAGAGATGAAAAGCCTCCTGAGCATCTGCAAGGTTTTTATGGAAGGAAGCCCTGGAATCTACTCGATAATGCGTTAAGAATAAGGCCTTTCATCTTATATGCATTACCTATGGACACAGACGATGGCGGGGTGGGGGAGGTCTGGTGCAGGGTGGCAACCAGGTGGAGGGGGACCAAGAGGGGGGAGGAAAGGGGACCTCTGTAATACTCTCAATAATAATTTTTTTAAAGAAGGCCTTTCTGGTTTAGAGTGTTCTGCCCAGCAGCAGGTACTGGAAATGATGACATTGGGGCCACTTCTTTCCCTGGGTTTTTAAAGAATTTACGGTTTCTGGCCTTTGCTGTAGCAGGTGGTGAATTAATAATAATAGTAATAAAATAAAGGTGATGATGATAATATCAATAATAATACTAATCATAATAATGAAACCGAAGACCTACCTGATAGGAGGGAATTGCCAACACAATACAAATACACCTCTCACATACTTTGTGTTGAATAAGGTGATGCACTTTGCACCGGTTTTCTGAATATCCTGTCATACTTGTGTACAAATTCTTTTCCCAAAACTGAGTGTTTTTGTTGTCCTGCTGCCTTTGCCATGGAGGAAAAAGTGCTGCTCTGAAGCTGGATCCCGTTGTTGGGAAGGGAGGACAGTCTCTAGGGAAGACCTTCCATCAAAGATGGAGCTGGGAGCTGGAGGCCTGCAGAAGCTCTGTGGAAACCCGGCTCCTGGCTGGATTAAACACTCAGCAATGCGGAACAGACCCCCAAATTTTACTGCAAGAAAAGCCTATTTTAATCTGCCCTCCTGACTCTTGCAATATTAAATGTAAGTGCAGTTTGGAAGCTCCATGCCTTTGATCTCCCCTCACTGTGGACTTGCCCACTAGGCAGAAGCTGGACATCTTCTAATGTAATCTTGTGTATGCTAAGCATCCTCGATGATAAGAGAAAGGCAGTTTTTCATCTCTTGGGTTCCTGTATTTATACCAGGGCACAGCAGGCACAGGAGGGTGACGATCAGTACAGGGGTGGGTGCCCCCAAAAGTTCAGGGAAGACGGTCAGGGTACCAGTACTATCACTGCGCTATCTGTGGCAGTGAGTGTGGATACTGTGTGATCAAACCCCTAACTAGCAAATCACAGATGCTGTGTAATGAGAGTTACTCTGTTATGTTTACAACCCATCAAACACGGCATGGCAAACAAACCACGACAGTTGAAATGCAGGCTGATCATTATAATAGCTTTTCACAGTGCAGCCTCTTCAAGTGCTAAGATCTTTGCTGAGATCCTCAGACAAGCCCTCTTCTCCTGGGACAGAGGGGAGTTCTGAACTAGAAATGGCAGAACCGGGACAGGGTATTTGGAGGAAAGGGAAGGAGGGAGAGGAACGGGGCCAGGGATAACTTCCTAGTGTTTGATAGGTCCTGTGAATGCCAGTCTCATCCTTTGCACAACTCCAGGCAGGGTGGATGGAGCTGAGCGTCTGTGGGCCTTGCATGAAGGTGCAGGAAAGAAGAGTTGTTCCTCTGAGATCCTCCCAGAACCTGCCCGGGGCCCTTCATTCTTTCAGGGACCAGGTAGTCAGGGTATGTGGCCATGCAGCCAGTCAT